TCCACCAGCAAGCGTCGCCCCTACAACGACCTGACTGCCTTCGTTAATGACTGTTCACCCAACATCCATGCAGTTCTTTGGCACGAAGGAGACACCTTTAACTTGGGTTTCGGAATGCTGACTCCCTACAAGATGTTATGTTATTTTCTGTTATCACAATCGACGTCACTGCACTATGGGGCTTTTCCATGCGTGTTCAGTCCTCCGATGCAGCAGCCACTCCAAAGTACTTCTACTAATTGTTCCCACGAGAAGCTGGTTATATTGTCTCCTATCTCGGCCTCGAAGACGGCAAAGACGTGCTTCGCCATGCTTTACGCCCATGTCACGCAATCGTGCCAGTGTTAGGGATTCCTCATTATTCACTAGCTCAGTACGTACAGCGTTGATCTGCTCTGTCCATGCTTTTTCCCGCAATCCTTAGTGCCGTGCTTGCCAGTTGGTCCGCTACCCATTCAGAGCACATACCGCCTGTTGCTATCTTCTGAAGCATATTCATGGAGTCTGATACAATAACTGCCAGTGTGGTGGTTTGCTCGGATACCCATGCTAAAGCTCTAGAAGCAGCGGCTATTTCGATGGTCAGGCTTAACGTGGTTGTCTGGTAAGCGCCGCTTTCCTCCTGTATTGTTTTCCCTATTCTTTGCGCTTATGCCCATGGCGACCTTGATCCGCGCTTTACGGATCCATCTGTGTAGATGATGATATCTTCTGGGTCTGAATGCGGATCTATCAGTTCCCTTACTTCTGTGTCTACGGCAGTACCTACCGAGTGTGATGACAACCTTAAGAGATGCCATGCATGTCTACTGGTGTATTCGTCCATTCTTTTCCGTGACTGATCACGTCTAGGTCACATACCTGCTGGATTAAATCCTAGCCTTCGCCATCCAAGAGCGGCCTCTTTTGATACGCGTTCTTTTTTGTCCAGTAGGTGGTTAACGTCTGCCGATACCCTCATGTACGCCTTGACCTGTGCCACTTTGTATCTGCTAGTCATCGTCTGCAAACCTAGGACATAACGCATGCCGTTGCAGGAGGTATCTTTTGTTGCAGCCGAGTATGAGTCTTATAGCCTCATTATGTGCTCCGTCCGGTCTTTCTAGCTGGGTTTTGCTGACAGTGAGGAGGCAAAGACCATAGTCAATGACGCTAAAACAAGCCCTTGATTGAGAAGGAAAAGTAGGCTTTGTTGGGGGGGGGGGGGGGGGGGGGGGGGTTGAACACGCACAAAAAAAAATCTTATTTTAAACTTCTTATGTTCTGTGTCAAATCTGAGGACAGTGAAAGGGGGGTGGGGGGGGGGGGGGGGGGGGGAACACGCACACAAAAAAATCTTATTTAAACTTCTTATGTTCTGTGTCAAATCTGAGGACAGTGAAGGTTTAACTTTGGTTCTGCTGACAGTTTTATTCAGCTTCTGGTGACCTTGTTGCTTCCATTTTGTTTGCTTCTAAAACTGCATAAAATAATAATAAATAAATTACATGTGGTTTCTAGAGCCTCGTTTTGATTGGGGGGGGGGGGGCACGGGACAGACAGCACACCAAACAAGCGTGTCGTAAAAAGTGACTAATTATGGGTTTGCTAAAATCGGGTGTGTTGGGTCGAGTTGCGCAGATATTGCAGCCTAGCTGTAAATCACAACACAAAGAACATTTTAATGGCAAAGAGAAAGAAGAAGAAGAATATGAAGAATAAGTTAGCATTTTGGAGGTCAAATTTCATCCTGTTTTTTAAGTTAGATTTGATATAAATCATAACACTGAAAACTCTTTCTACGTCAGCATATGAGTGGGTTAGTATTATGACATACATTGCACATTTAAAGAGCTTACAGAATGGACTGTTTGATGAGGCATCTTTAAATTGTCTAATTTCACTCCAAAACACTTCAGTTTCTGTTTTGTTCGTCCATTCAACTAAGTTTATTTTGGGTAACTAATATCCTGCTTTTGCGACACTATTATCAATAGCCCCTAAAAATTTCATAACTTCACAATATTTAGGAATGTCCTTTACTGGCTGAAGTATGTTGCTCGCAGAAAAGAGTAAAATATTTTTCAATACATCTAGATTTTCCGCAAGTCTCTGCTTCAATTGCTTGAATAATGAGATATGGAAGTCTTGACAGCGTTTTCCTAAGGTGTTCTTTTCATTCTCTGTAAACATACCTTTTATTTTTAAATCATCATTTTTTTTATTCGATTCGATATCCAAGGTATGGCTTAGGAGACAAATAGCTCGCCTATAGTGCAAGTGAGCAAAGTATCTTTAGAAGTTGGCAACACTTTTACCAACTGAGTGAAATAGCAAAGTGAGATCGTCAAGTAATTTAACTTTATCAACCTGTTTAGATTCGAACAGTTTAATAACTTTTTGCACTTCCATTAGAATAATAGGTTGTAAAAAGAGAAGGAATGCCAATTTTTTTTTCGTCACTGTACATTCCAAATAGTATTTCAGCTGTGTAGCATTTTTCACTTTATCTTGTTATTTCAAAGTGTATCTTCAACTCAACAATAAGAAGTTTATTAAAGTCAACAATATCTCTCCAAACGATATGATCAATAGATAACACTAAAAATAAGCTGAATTCGCAAAGCAGAGAAATATTAATAAATTAGTAATAAGAAGTTAACAAGCCGGTCTTATTAGCCCAGGTTAGTCTCAGATAACAAACACCTAGTTGTTTGATTTCTCATGTGCTCAACCGATTCTATCGTTTCACGATCTTGGGCAATCTTCTCTCGTCTCAAAGTTATTCTATGGCAAGGGCGCCGGTAACTTGTGAACTTTCATGTGCAGAAAAGACTCTGTGTTGTCTCGCGATCTTGGACAATCTTCTCTAGTCTCAAAGTTATACTATGGCATGGGCGCCTGTAACTTTCCAGATCAGTCTCTTCGTTTTCACTCTTCTAGTCGACTTTACGGTATGGGCACCTGTCGACTCTCTAAGCACAATCTGTCTCTCTCAGTCCTTGCTTTAGCATATATACTTTCCCTAAGTAACGCTCACCTTGGCCGTTTGTCCTACTTCTTCATGCTGACTCAGAGTTTTAAATTTTCCCCAGAAACCCGATCTCTGCCTAGAGTAAATACTTTTCAGCTTGTTTGCTTATTGCCATGTTTCACATGCATGTTCTAATTTATTTAGCACTTCAACACTCTTCTTCTCGCTGCAATTGACATCATCTTGATAATTTTTTTGCAGCTTACTAGAGGCCATGCAAATAATGTTCTCATTTCAGCAAGGCATCTTGCATCAGATGATTTGGCTGTTTGAAAGATAGTTGTGTCTGTTGACTTGCTTAAGAATTTTACCGTGTGCTTGTATTTCACAATTTTGTATATTTTTCTTCTAGATAAATGACTAATTTCCGCTTTCTTTCATTATAATTCCAAGCCTAGTTTCTTACTGTGAACTACTACTGAATCCATTAAACGTTGCAGACTTTCTTCGTTGTCTGCTTTCATTCTGTATCCACTGCATATCTTATATTGTTGGTGTTACATCCTCCCACATTAATAACCTTCATATCTTTCAGATGTCGCCTAATATTTTCGCTACAAAAGGAAACAAGATCTGGCGACATTACACATTCCTGTCGCATACCTTTCTTGATTGGCAGGTATATATATATATATATATCTGTTTTTACAGCAGTATGTTTCCACTCTGTCCTTAGTCAATTTTCCCTGTAAATTTGTAACCATTTTTATCACGTTGACGTTTCTTTATCTTTTGAAGGCCTTGATGTAATCACTAAAGCAGAGATGATGATCTTCACTTACTTCTATCGAACGTTCTATTAATGTTCTCAGGAGATACATGGCATTTGTTGTACCTCTACACCTATTTTTGGTTCCATTTTCTTCCTAATCCTTTGCATGATGATTCTTAGCAAATTATGTTATATCTTTCTAACCTTAATCAATGACAGAAACATAAAACAAATACAAAGCAAAATATTTGTCAAAATGTAATTGTTTCAGAATGTTTAAATAATTTGTGAAACAGTTATTCATTTTCAAATAGTTTTAACATGCAGCATATATACAATACATAAACATGAAACTAAACAAAATGTAAAAATGTCACAACAGAGGGCTTTCAGCAAATGGCTGTCTTAAAATACAGTTTTACTTTTTTGTTCTTGCAACATAGGAAGCTAATAATTAACTACACAGGTCATAGGCTTAATAGGGAGCTTAACCCCGCTGAAAATAATTATGTAAGGGTATGAAGAGACATCCCTTTGTGAGAGAGAGAGAGACTAAGACAGACAGATGGGCACAGAGAGAGAGAGAGATACCCACACACACTTAGACAGACATATGAACTAAAATGGACCGAAAGAGAGAGAGAGGGAGAGAGAGAGAGAGATAGAGAGAGAGAGAGAAAGAGAGAGAGAGAGAGAAAGATTAAAGGCTGAGGGGGAGACTGAATAAAATATTAAATAGCAAAAGGACAATGGCTTGGCACAATATGTAGGGAGAACCAAACAGATAAATGAATAAGATGGGCTGGGCATGGTATGGGCTACGAAAGAAAGAGAGCTGAAATCCAAGACAGACACATCAAATCATGGTGATACCTCAAAATACGTAGTTTAGAAAAAAGTGGGAAAATATACTATCAGATAAGCGTTGGGAACAACACAATTTTTGCTAGTTTTGCTATCTGGTTACAATGCAGCCACGACAACTATCATAACACGCGCTACTCATGAAAAGATCTGATGGACAGTAACAGGTGGCCCTAGGAGAATATGGACTGATGACATTAACGACATTCTACTTCAATTCAGAACGACAACAGGCATTGCTACCCATCAAGAAATGGATGACAAACTGTTTCTTCCCAGGGTGCCCAACAGCAAAAGTTGGAAATTGATGATGATAACTGTACGTAGAATATACAATGACAAGTAACATTAAAAAGCATGATTTAAAAAAGACATATTTATTTGGACAGGAACCTCAGAGCTGAGTTCTGATCATGCTGTTTGCAGGATTCTAATAACTTTTGTAAGGAGGTTGACAGCGATGTTGTTACAGAATGCCTGTAATCAGAGAGAAAAAAAATATCAGGGTTTCACTTCAAATCTTGACTATAATTATTTTATTTCACTAAGCTTTTTAACAATCCAGCCTATTATTTGACAATGAGAAGCTAACATTTTGTCTGCTACATTAATTAACAAGGCTAGTAACTATCATCAAGCCTGTATTATATTAATTTGGCCATGTTACAATACTGCTTATTAAATTACTTTGTGACAGGTTAACATATAGCTTATCGCATTATCTCACGTTTCTCCCAGTGTGGGTTCCAGGAAATATGGGGGGGGGGGGGGGGGGGGGGGGGGAAGAAAGATGAAGAGAACCCATTGTCTCTCTAACAAGCATGTCATAGGAGTTGATAATTAGAGCTCCCTTGAAGCAAGGAGTGCATCTGCATAAAGAGGCGAGGAACTAACAGTCTGCATACGTATAAGACATATCTGTAAAATAGATAAACACTCAACTCATTTTCTCAAACAAGGTTAAAGACCAGAACTGGAAGAATTTCCAGCACTAGTGGTTCTTTGTTTACATCAGATCTGAGTGACTTCCTAACTGCCTCCAGCGCCGGCGGTAGTTTATTTACATCAGGTCCGAGTGATTTCATAGCTCCCTCCAGTACTGGTGGTTCTCCATAGCTGTCTCTAGCACGGGTGGTAATTCACTTAAATGAAGTCTGAGCAACTTTCTAGCTCCCTCTAGCACTGGTAGTGGTTCACTTACATTAGTACAGATATACTACCATGCACTCGAACATACTTGTATGAAACTCTTTCCCGTGTGGGTTCCTGGCCTCATTATGGGGGAAAACACAAACAGGCTCCTTACTTTGTCAACAAGCATGTCATAGGAGTGACTAACTGGGGATTTTCTTTGAAATTGGAATGCATTTGCACGAGTGGCAAGAAACAAACAATTGCACACAAAAGTCAGTAAACTGAGACCCTGGCTCAAAGAAAAGTCCAAATGGACAAACAATCAGGACTTTCCATAAGAGCTTTCAGCCGGTGAACAAAGACGATGTATGAAACTCTAAGGCCCTCACCATGAGGTGCTGTCATGGGCACATTTGTAATGGAGAGGCCAAATGCCAGAACAGCAAACTTTAGCTTCATCAAGCACAACTACACTGAGTAAGAGAGACTAAATACTATAAACTTTTATTAACGTAGTACTGAACCACTGAAGTCTATATTCTAAAGGGATCCCATAAAACATTATTAAGTGGAAGAAAAACTCCACCTGCGAACATTGTCAATAAACAAAAGGAGCAACAGCAGCAGACATGCCAGATCAGATTTAATCCCTATCAGGAAAAGAAATACAAAAAAAATATATACATATATCAAGGGTTATATTTCCTTTACTAAGGCCTTCTCATAAAGATACACACAGCAGCAGAGCAGATATAGTAGCATGCATTTTAACATCCTTAAATGGAATTCTGAGAACATGGCCACACCATGAGGTGCTGTCATAGACACATTTGTACTGGAAAGGCCAAATAACAGTACATAAAACATTTACAAGACGCATAAACTCAACAATACAACTCACCGTAATCCTATAAAAATTGAGAAATTTCTTCAGCCTCTTAATCACCAGATCAAAATTCTTATTTGGCATTAACTTCTTGACAGCAGTAGCATACTCCTGCACATGAATATTTAGAACATATTTACTATACTACTCACACAGCCTTACTGCATGTATCACAATACGCACACAAAAGACCAAGTGTTATTAAAAAGGAGATCTGCACTGAGCAGTGGGCATGTTTTGTGGTTTACAGCTGCACCTTAAAGCCCCACACATCTGGTTTCATAAAAAAATGCTTTTTTTAAATGTGTTACTGGGCAGTGGGTCTTACCTGAGCACCATAACCTACAACTTTAACGGCTGTGCCTCTGCACGGCCCTGGATAGTGTGCCCAGACAGACCATGCCACTGAGCTGGTTGACCTTGGTGTAACATCCATTACACTGCCCTCTTCTTCTTCCAAAGCAATAACTCTTCAAGAACTACCCCACTAGGAACATACAGTAATGGTGCAAAAAGTGATTCATATAAAAGACATGAAATTATGAGTTCTTCATTAAGGTAAGCATAATTTTGGATAGAACACACACTGAGAAAACCTGAGACCAGTATATCTAGAATGTCTTTGCACTGAAACCCACAGGGGCATAAAAATAGAGAAGACCAAAATTCACATGCAAAAGGAAGCTAGAGAAAAGTTAAAAAGAAGCGGAGGACATGGGGTGAGCTGCATGCAACAGCGAAGGATAAAGAAAACTGGCGTGACCTAGTTATGGGCCTATGCCCCATTGCGGAATAGAAGGCATAGGAAAATAGAAAAAAGAAAGTGACGCGGCAAATTTATTCATCATACAACATAAAAATGACCCTGACTCCAAGGTCGACCCAGCCTGTGCAGTCCCGGGAAGTAAAGACAGCCAGCCTGATTCTGACCACATCACTCATATTGAGCTGACTGGTCTATAAAAATATAGGTTCAGCGCTATACACCTTAAGGCCAAGGAAAAGGTACCTTACTTTACTTACACAACATACTAAGTTAAACTGACCATTCAGGTAATACCTAATCTAGGATGCCGTCAAGCTAATAAATAATCACAGTCTAAGCTAGCCAGATCCTAATCATCACTACGTCTCTTAACAAGCATATTACACTTCAGCAGTCAGAATACATTTTGTTCTGGTTTCGGTCTCCAAGCCAAGTCTGCTCAAAGCTCGGTCAGTGAGTCGCCCGTGAATCGTGGAGTCTTTACTCAGTCAGTAAGACTTTCCTGTCCTCGTCTCCGTGGGCTGTTAAACATGCAGTCACTTAACAGTCGTCTAAGTCCTAGTCCATCGTCGCCCACAATATGTCCAAAGCCACACAGGACTCTGCTAATGATTACTTCAAATGGATCACAGCAAAAGAAAGCCAGGTATTCAATTAACCTTCTAGAATGAAGATGGAAATAGCAGCTGTTACAGGAACATGGCTGGTGGAGCAAAAAGCAACTCAGGCGCTGAGAGTGACAGCAGATTCAATGAGCATGTTTAAAAAGATCCAGACTGGCAAACTAGAATAGTTTGACAGTATCTAGAAGTCCCCCTCAAGAAAGAGCAGACAGACTGGCAATGTCTGACAAATTAATAAATGAACAAATTTTATTTTCAGTCACAAATTAGGCAAGCAAGCTCTTCAGAACACTCATCTTTTGCTCAGCATCTGTATTTTATCTGTAAAGCATGTTATTTTCAAACATGTACACATACTCTCATATGTACTTAAGGATATATGTTCACATAATCATACATATGTCTATACAAATGCAGCAGAGGTATTCATACATATAGTATATATATATATATATATATATATATACATACACACACAAAATCAGCACACTTAGTATACAAATATGCATACACACAAGCAGATACCTACCACTTATAACACAAACACATGTACATACACTCACCCATACATACACATTCCTACACACATATACACAGGCACTCATTAAGAAACATTTATACAAAGACATTGTTACATATCCTCACTCTGCGAATGCAGAGTTGCTGAGGTAAAGAGTCAGAGACGATTAACCGTCTGTTGGAAATGGTTGTTAAATGTGGACAAGCATGAAGAAAACGACTGCAGCGCAAAGAGAGAAGGTATGCCAATCTACTCTAACCGGGTACGTTGAATATGGAGACAATATTACTGCTGCATCAGAAGATAGAGAATGAATGGGCAGATTGACATACTAGGATGTAGATATGAACAAGTAACGTAGCATTTCACCATACCTGTCTGTGCTGTAAACAAATGACAGTACTCGGAGAAAGCAATAGCACAAGAATATTTTTAAAAAAAAGGTCACTTGGAAAAAAAAAAGCCAGACTTACCTTGTTATTAACAATTGTGAAACCCAGGAGAAGTCCAGCATAGGAAGCCACAAACAAGTAGTTCACAGGCCTACCAGCTTTACCAAAAGCTATATGAAAATAAAGAGAAACAATTTTTTGTTTTACATTTTACATCCTGAATGCAGCGTCGAAAGCCATCCCAAGGGGCAGCCGGAAGGCATATAAACCTTTTTGGAATCAAGAAATTCAAAATACTATATCTGAAAGGAATAAAGCAAGAATATTTCTCGAAACTGCACGTTCAACAGAAGCAAAGATCCAATACAATAAAGCATGTGCCAGAGTAAAGCTTGTAGTTAATAAGGCTAAAAGAGATAAATGGACAGAAACTTGCTCCAACTTAGACCTTAGACAGAATGGAAATAAAGCATGGACTTTAGTTAAAAACCTCTCCGGAGAAAGTAGAAGGGTGAACCCAAAACCAGTGACAGATGGGAGTAAGACAATCACTGAAGACAATGAAGAAAGCAGAACATTTCAATCATTATTTTGCCTCGGTTAACAGAGCAGGTAAGCTGTCAGAACTCGATAGAACACAGCTCTCTCAGTTGAAGAAACAAGAGAGAGCTCCAACAGCCAGCGACTCCCTTTTTGAAAATGAATTTAGCATGGATGAATTAGAGCAAGCCTGAAGAAATTAAAACCTAGAAAATCTCCAGGCCCAGATAAGATCCACAACGAAATGCTGCTACATCTTGGCCGGTCTGGGAGAGAAGTAGTTCTCAGGCTTATTAATAAAACTTGGAGGTCAAGCAAACTTCCAAGGGCATGGAGGAATGCATATATCGTCCCCATCCTTAAAACCAAAAAGCCTCCAGATGACCCCAAAAAGCGCTACCGCCCGATATCCTTAAACATCATGCTTGGGCAAAGTTTTGCAGAAAGAATGATAAACAACAGGCGCTTATATTGGTTCCTTGAGAGTTCTGGTGTTCTATGCCATGAACAGGCAGGCTTCAGAACCAACAGCTGCACAGAAGACCAGCTGTTCAGACTGACACAAAGAATACATGATGGCTTCCAGAATAAGAAACACACAGTGGCAGTCTTTGTCGACCTCCAGCAGGCCTATGACAGAGTATGGAGAAAAGTCTCCTGATGAAGATGATGAGCATAGGAATACATGGCAGATTGTATAACTGGGTGAAATACTTCCTGATAGATAGAAGCAATCCAGACTAGATGCACAAACGCAATCTCTTCTAAAGAAGTCTTGGAGGAGGGCTTGCCACAAGGCTCATCATTGAGCTGTACACTATTCCTAATCTTTATCAATGACCTGCCAGAACAAATCAAGGCCGAAAAAAGCCTTGTACGCTGATGACCTAGCAATATGGCAGAGTCATGAAAATGTGGAAAGTGGAGCCCAAAGACTGAATGGAGACCTTTAGAAGACTGCATGATTACTGCCGAAAGATGGAAACTCAAGATTAACTGTGCAAAAGACGGTCTACACAATCTTTACCAAAAGCCACCAAGTAGCAAGGAAGAATATTAACACTGAGGTTAGACAAACACCAAGTGATGAAAGAAGAGCATCCCACATACCTTGGAGTCACACTTGACCCGCAGCTCAGCCTCAAGAACCATATTGAAAACATCAGGAATAAGGCATTGAGGCGGTTACAGTTATTAAAGAGACTTGCAGGTGTACATCATGGGGACATCAGACAAGGAAACTCTGAGGGGCTTATACCTAGGATATGTTCACTCTGAGATAGAGTACAACAACTCACTGCTTACAACTTGTTCCAAAAACTAACCTAGAGACTCTTGACAGAGTACAAAAAAATGCCCTCCGATTAATCTGCGGAGCTATGCAGTCTACACCAACTGCTGCATGTGAAATCCATACAAATGTGGAACCCCTCGGGTTGCGGAGAGAAAAAATCAGCCACTTTAGAAATTTATGAAAGATGCGTTAGGAAAAAATCGTAACCATCCTAATAGACATCTTGTAGAAAAACTGGGAATCCAAACAAAGAATAAAGCACAAATCGGTTTTACACTGTGTAAATGAAATTCAGGACAGATACCACCTCCCAGAAAGACGTCAAGGAATTCAGAAATGTTGCAAAAAAACCTACCACCACATGCTCGCTTTAAAGCTCCAGAAGTCCAAACTAAATTGGTAGGCGAGGAAAACCAAACAGTCCGACCCAAATCGCTCTTATGAACTCATCACTAAAGACCGTTGATTCTTACCCCCAAGAATGGATACATGTCTATACTGATGGATCAGCATTTAAAGCTACCATTAAAGCAGGTTACGGAATCTACATAGGTTATCCCGATGGATCTGTTGAAGAGATTTTTGATTGCATGCGGGGAATTCTGTTCAAACTATGAAGCTGAAATAATTGCACTGGAAACAGCAGTATACCACCTAAAGACTGTAATGGATGTTTACCCCTCAAAGGTCCAAAAATATTTGTCATCTTCACAGATTCAATGTCTGCCCTTCAAGCTCTGGTAGGGCAATGAATCCTGCAGAACTGACATAGCCAAGATAATCCTGATGCCGATCATCTTATTACCTCATACAACATCAGAATAGTGATGCAGTGGATTCCAGGTCACTCCGGCACACCAGGTAATGACAGAGCTGACAGATTGGCAAAGAAAGGAGCAACACAAGAACAACCACCTACAGCGACAACCCTCCAGACAGCAAAAACACTGATAAGAGCTATAAACAAAGAGACTTGGTTGAACAGATGGGCCATGGGAGACACTGGAAGAGAGGTTTATAGACATATGTCTGGCCCTGATCCTAATGACAGCATTAACCATCTAACAAGAAGGGACCAGGCCACCATCTTCAGACTTAGAACGCAAACATACTCCACTCAAATGGACACCTAAACAGAATACAGCCACAACACTCCCCAGAGTGCCAGCTATGTAACTACCCCTACGAAACTGTTGAACACCATCTCTTTGAGTGCCCAAAACTCAGTGAGACAAGAAGAACGCTACTCCCTCCGAGACCAGACAAGTGGAACACCTTGTACGGAGGAAAAGAACAGCTTGTGAAAACATGCAAATTCCACTACATGGCATTGGGCCAAAGGGCGAAAGCTCATGCGCCGCTGGATCGATAACAACAACAACAACAACAACATTATGAAATCTTTTTCCCTACAAATGTACATACAATCATTTACAAAGAGAAGATTTACTCCCACATGATGAAGTTTTCTACTGATGTACTAGTAAATCCAATCATGAACACAGACAAGATTTACTCTCACATTTTCTATGTATGCTAATCCCACCTTCGCCCGTGTGTCACCGGGGCCCTCACGGGAAGCAAAGAATAGTGACACTGCACCCTACCAGGCATGTCGTAAGAGGCGACTAAGGGTAGGGTTGGGCGTGAGGTTGGCTACCTCATCCTGTAAAAACCATAGCCACAAAAACCAACCAACCATGGATAAGTCAAAAAGAGAAGCAAATAAACTCCAGCCAACCAAGATGAGGGGAGGCTCTTCAAATAGAAGAAGTATGACACGGTGTGGAGAAAGCCGTAAGGAGTCCGGATCGTTGACTTACCTCCTCTCAGCTAGGAAAACCTCCAGAATTGGCACCTGGAATGTTTAGAACTCTCTATGATATAGGGAGAACAATGGAAGTAGCAAAGGAAATGAAACATTATAGAATTAGTATTTTGGGGTTATGTGAAATAGATGGACTGGGACAGGGAAAAAGTATTCTCAATTCAGGAGATACTATTTTGTTCTCAGGACACACAGAGGAAAATTCGCCGCCACAGTGAAGGAGTGGCCCTGATGCTATCAAAAAGAAGCAGACAGAGCACTATAGAATGGGAAGCTGTGAGTCCCAGAATAATAAGAGCATCTTTTAGAACAGTAAAACAGAAGGTGAAACATGTCGGTAATACAGTGTTATGCACCAACAAATGATAAAGATGCATCTGTTAAGGAAGAATTTTACATGCAGCTTTAAAATATTATAAATAATGAAAAGAAAGGGCAACTTAAAAATTTTGATGGGTGACTTGAATGCTAAGATAGGATCAGACAACACAGGTTATGAAGAAATTATGCGGAGACATGGTCTAGGAATAATGAATGAAAATGGAGAATTATTCACAAATTTTTGTGCAGGAAACCAGTATGTTATTTTTTCCCCATAAAATAATACACAAGGCAACATGGAAATCACCAGACCATAAGACAACCAATCAAATTGATCACCTATGTATTAACAAAAAGTTTTGATCATCCCTTAATGATCTTAGGGCTTTCAGAGGTGCCAATGTATTTACTGACTATTTTCTAGCGGTAAGTAAAATCAAGTTGAAACTAAAAAGATATATAACATCTTATAATCATAGAAACCAATATAATGTAGGCTTTCTCAGAGATAAAGAAATTAAGGAACAGTTCACAGTTACGGTCTCTAATAAGTACCAAGTGTTGCAGCAGTTAGCTGAAGATGTCAACACAGAAGTCTGCTGGGATCAGATCAAAGGAATCTGGAATGAATCTTGCGTAGAAGTTCTTGGCAAGAAAGAAAGGAAACATAAAGCATGGATAACACCAGAAACCATTAAACTGATTGAAAATAGGAAAAGTAAAAAGGCAGAATTAAACAATAGCAAAACTAGAGCTGCTAAAGCTAGAGCTCAGGAGAATTACACAGAAGCCAACAAGGAAGTTAGGAGGCATATAAGGGCAGATAAAGTGAAATATCTAAATGATCTAGCACAAGAAGCGGAGACAGCAGCAGCAAAAGGAAACCTCAGAGAACTTTACAGTAACACAAGAAAATTAGTAGGTAAATATAGTCAGCCAAGTGGATCAATCAAAAATAGTCAAGGAAAGGTACTTACTAACACTAAGGATCAAATGGACAGATGGGTTGAATATTTTGAAATGCTTCTAAATAGACCAGGCCCAGAGGTTCCCCCAGATATCCAGCCTTTAGAAATGGAACTGAATATCAACTGTGAGATACCATCCAAAGAGGAAATTAGAAAAGCTATAAAGCTTCTTAAGGAAGGAAAGGTGTCAGGCCCAGATGGTATCCCAGCTGAAGCCATCAGGACCAACATAAACACATCAACAGAATTGCTGCATAGATTATTCAGTAAAGTCTGGGAGACCGAAGAAATACCAGCAGACTGGAGAGAAGGATATCTTGTGAAACTGCCCAAAAAAGGTGATCTACAGGAGTGTGAAAACTATAGAGGAATTATGTTGCTGTCAGTTCCTGGAAAAATATTAAGTAGAATTATTTTGGAAAGATTAAAAGATGCTATTGATAAAATGCTAAGAGATGAGCAGGCAGGTTTTCGGTCCAACAGATCCTGTACTGATCAGATAGCCACATTACGTATTATAATAGAGCAAAGCATTGAACTGAAACTCACCACTTTACATTGGATTTATAGACTATGAAAAAGCATTTGACAGCATTGATAGGGAATCTCTCTGGAAATTGATGGGGCACTATGGAATCCACACAGAAAATTATCAACTTAGTAAAGACAACATATAAAGACATGAAATGTCGAGTTCTTCATGAGGGAAAGCTAACAGATGCATTTGAAATAAAAACAGGTGTGCGACAGGGATGTCTTTTTGTCGCCTCTCCTATTTTTTACTGGCTATAGACTGGACTATGAAAACAGTAACTGCTAACACCAAGAATGGAATTCAGTGGACCCCTACAAAACAGCTGATGATCTGGACTTCGCTGATGATATTGCCCTTCTGTCCCATTCACGGAATCAGATACAAGATAAATTAAATATACTTAATGCGAGATAACAGCAGCTTGGTCTGAAAATCCATAAAGGAAAGACAAAGATAATGAGAATAAATCAGGCAAATAGTATGTGGTTTCTCTTAATGGCACCCCACTCCAAGACGTGGAGTCGTACACCTATTTGGGCAGTAATGTAGATAAAGATGGAGGAACTGATAGAGATATTAAAATAAGAATACAAAAGGCAAGAGGGGCTTTCATAGCACTAGGGAATTTGTGGAGGTCAAAAGAAATTAAAAGAAATACTAAACTAAAAATTTTTAATTCTAATGTCAAATCAGTACTTTTGTATGGGGCGGAAACATGGAGAACAACGAAGGCAATTACTAATAAATTACAGACATTCATTAACTGGTGCCTGCGCAGAATAGAGGAATAAAATGTTATGATAGAATAACTAATGTAGAACTTTGGGAGAGAACTAAACAGGCTCCAGTGGATCAGGAGGTGAGGAAAAGACGCTGGCGTTGGATAGGGCACACACTGAGAAAACAGGAGAACAGCATAACTAGAATGTCTTTGCATTGGAACCCACAGGGGCATAGGAATAAAGGAAGGCCAAAAAACACATGGAGAAGAGAGCTGGAGAATGAGGTTAGAAAGATTGGGAGGACATGGGGAGAGCTCCATGTAATGGCGAAGGATAGAACGACTTGGCGTGAGTTGGCTGAGGGCCTATGCTCCATTGGGGGATAAAAAGGCAGAAGAAGAAGAATCCCACCTTGGACAAGGACTATTTATTTTCATAGATACACTATATTTTTTAAAAACATAAGCCTGATCATAAACAATTATTCTCATATTCTATTATATTATGACATAGATGTATATATAATTATAAATATTTTTTATTGCTAGATGAATTGATGGTTTTGCCCAGGGTAGTTAACTTTTTCAGGACCAAATTTTTTTCTGTGGGTTTGGACAGCATACATTTTTTTTCTGCAACACAACAAAGCTAAAATCCTCCCTGAAGAAACAGTATTGGCTGTATCGGGACATATAATATATCAAATTAAAGATAAATGAGTGCAGAATAAATCTTAACTATATAAGTGTCAGTATTACAACAAAATATTAAAATCGCACAACATTCAAGGATGTTAGACACATATGAAGATTATTTATATATATAAAAATCAATGTTTGTTTGTTTGTTTATTACGTATAGATTCGGAAACTACTAAACCGATTTAGCTGAATTTTCGGCGTATGTTTGTTTTTATACCGGGAATTTTACGGGTCATGGTTTGAAATAAGTGGCGACATTTGTTAGGAAAATATTTTCAATTTAGTGATATTTAATTAAAGCCACGCTCGGAATGCACGACTTCCACCATTCGCCGGCATGGTACAGCAAACCATACTATCTCTATATCTGTGCAGGCAATGATTGCATGTTAAAAATATTAGACACGATTTCTATTTTCTTTCTTATCAAACAACCATCGATGAGTTAGAGAGTGGTCGGTGGATTTGAGAAAGGGGGGGGGGGGGGGGGGCGCATCGAAGACTATCTCTATGTTCGAGCAGACAATGATTGCGACATGAACTGTGTTAGACAAGTGCGATTTCTATTGTTTTGTCGTTTTAATAATACTTGTAGTTTACATCTGGGATATCTGTCTATGAGAAAACAATTGCCTGTGGTTTTGAGTTGTGTTTGAATCGGGACACAGTAGTCGGGACACACATCTTTTTTGTTTTCTTTTCGTTGCTCAATAGGAATGGTTGCTTGGCCGAACAGTTAGAACACTGGGCTCCCGTGCGGGAGACCAGGCTTCGAATCCCCAGTACCTCATATGATTTTGTGTGTGTTAAATATGGGGCAAAATAAACTGTTGTGGCGACAACACTAGCTATGTGGCCCTAAATACTAAATTTTAAAAAAAGGTAACGTTGATAGTTAAAATTGACCATTCCGCATACTTATGATTTCATTTCAAACTTTCCGATTGCAAGGTTACGCTAAATTTTCATAGGTTTCCATTTATTTTCATTTAGATTTAATCATTTCGCCTGACATTGCTTTGGAATTAAGTTGTGCTGTTTACCATAGCGTACATTTCGTAATTATAGTGTATTTTTCCTGTTTTTGTTGCTTTTTACTTAATTTTTCCCCTCCCAACTATTTCAATGAGGGAAGGAGTAGACGGTGAATTGGGGGGGGGGGGGGGGGGGGGGGTGGTGGGTTGGAGGGGGGGGGGGGGTTGGACAAAAACTGTTAACTGGGAGAGCTTTAAGTCCCAGTAACTGCTCTACCCACTCAAAGTAGCAGCAGTGTTAGTAGTTGTGGTCCCCCGTGTGGGTTCCGGGGCCCTATTGTGGGGAAAACAAGAATAGACCCACTGCCTCCCCAAAAGCATGTCGTAAGAGTCGACTACCTGGGGAGCTTCCTTTGAAGTCGGAGTGCATCTGCCTGAGAGGCAAGGAACCAGCAGACTACATTCAAATGAATCAGATCTGTAAAACTGATGCACACGCAAAACTCAGGTTCTGGAGCAGGACTGCAGTCCAGAAGTGGACGAACAACCAGAACTTTACGCCAGAGTGTACAGCTGGTGAACGCGAAGAAGAAAGAAGAAGTAGTTGTGGTTGGGTGGTTACACCGTAGTGCTCTCATGTTAAAGCCTGCCGGTAAGGTGATGGCGTTTTTCTGTCGGGAAGCGAAATTACACCTCCTAACCTGACCAGTCCGTGGCGACAGCACTAGCCATGCGGCGGCAAAACATCTGGCTCACGGCTCCCTGTCTACTCCGATGGTAAAACAGATAAACGAAAAGGGAGAGAGCAGTAGTCTGGATGGGGGAGGGGATGATGACAGAAATGTTCAACTTAAAGAGCTTAACACATGATTTTAAAGTTTTAATTTTTTTATTTTAATAGAGCCCCGAAGCCCACACAGGGAAAGACACAATTATATGTTGCGTGTTCTAAAGTCGGCAAACCAAACATGCAATTTCTATTGTCTTTCTTTTTCAAAAACCTTCAATGGGGGAGAGAGTAGTAGGTGAATTTGGTGGGGGGAAGATCGAAGACTATCTCTGTATCTGCGCGGACAACGATTGCGACAGTAACCATATTTAACAAGTGTGATTTCTATTTTCTTTCTTTTCCTTTTAGCCAAACTATGCCACAGCAACGCATGGCCAGGTACAGCTAGTTTACATATAAAAATTGTGTGCTTATATACTTTTTTACTTGTTCAACAACACTGCTATCCAGTTTTAAGAATATACATACCTTCTCTATTCAATTGTGTCTGTATTTGAAACTTTTTTTAAAAATACTTTGGATGTTATGATCACTTTTGTATGACACGTTAGATTTCATAACAACCGAAAATCAGAAAAACAGCTGATCAAACAAGATGATCCGACTGAAATATTTATTTCAATTTTCATAACCTAAACTAAATTATCGCCAATAGGTTTGTCACTTAGATATCAATCATATTATCAAGACTATTGTCACCATCTGGCAGAGATTCATCAACGACAGAAGTATGAACAGTTCTAGACCTTTTAACTTATCATTTAGTTTTAAAAAATCCTGCAAGAATTGTTTCACACAAAAAAAAAAAAAAAATTTTAAGTCATGAATGGAAGCAAAAGCCATGTGGGAAATTTCATACGAGAGGACACCCTGTTGTTAATCCTAAATTTTCCGAAACTTGTTCTTAAAAGTTAGTTTTTCCCACAAATGGAACAAAATTAAGATATATGATACGCGAGTATACTGGCACTCACATGAGGGATAAATTTATAAGCCAGTTAACTGGCTACCCGTCTTCAAAGAGTTATGGAAAACTGCATATTTCCCTCCTCTATTTCCGCAACTGGAGAAAATAATAACAGAAAGAACAGCGGTGGCCAACAACACAAAGATGAACACAGGATTTAAGTGACACCTTGGGTAGGGAAGTGCACATGGCGGGAAAATCTGGTGAGAGACCGATTTTCTAACAGGCAGAATGTGATGAAAGTGACGTTCTGTGAAAGCACTTGCTGCATGATGATGATTTTCTTATATTATCTGAATACATTTCAATGAATAAATAATCATAGCCACAACTGACCTTTTGTAAATGTCTCATTTTCATTCTCCAGGATGCTTTGATTGTCATCTTCCGTCTGACGAGCCGCCTCTTCTCTCTGGACAAACAGCTAAGATAAAATACAAAATAAAGAAGCCATTATGACAGTTAATGTGTCAATCTAGTAACAGAAATGAATAAATCCTCAATGATTCACATGGTTATGACAGAAGTTAACAGCAACCAGAAAATATTTTATGTAAAATAATAATTAAAGGAATCAACAAGGATTATTTGTCCTTCTCCTCCACCAACTTCTTATCTTCAGTGGTCATCGAAGTGACACAGCTGCACTGCCTGTTTATAACAAAAATAGCATACTATAAAGAACATTTAACATATGGCTGTGAATCCTGAACAATTAAAAAACAAGTTCAAATGTGTCTTGAGGTTTCAGAGATGCGGTTTTATTCTTATACTTCTTCTTACGTTCGCCTGAAATAAGTTGTCTATATCAGCAATTTTGTCTCTTGTATAAATTTCACTGTTGTTTCATTCAGTGGTCCATAGAGTTTACCTTCCACTGTTGTTCTTTTGGGCCAAAAGGTTTTCCCTAAATGTGGCGATTTCGGTGCAGTTCTGGAGTACATGCCCTGCTGCCTGGGGCACCTTTCCACAGGTGTACATGGCTGATACGCCTATCTTGAATTTTGTGTACATGCAGTTACGTAATCAGTTGTGCCCTGTTCTGAGGCGGAGGAAAATGACTTGTTCTGATCTGTCCATAATAAAATAGTTGTCTTGTGCTGGGGCTGGTGGTTTCCTGATTGATTTAATGATTCTTTTCTTATGGTGGTATGTGACTGGCACATCGGCTGCACTTTTGTCGCACCTTCTCCTGCCAGTTGATCAGCTTTCTCATTTCCAGGCACTCCACAATTTGATGGTATTCACTGCATTACAACTCTGGTAGTTTCCTAGACTGGAGTGCTTCCAGTACTGATTTTGCATCTGTCAGCATTACCACATACTGTGAGCCAAGACTGGTATTTAGCAGTTTCTCTGTTGCTGTCTTGATAACTTGAGTTTCTGCATCATAGTTATGGCAGTACTTTCCAGTTGGTACGCTGGACTTATTCCTAGTACCATCTGGGAATTCTATGTACACTGCAGCACCACCATTTCTAATTGCACTTTCTGCTGACCTATCTGTATAGACTCTGACCCATTGTTCTTGAGGGTATTCTTCACCTAAATAACTGAGGGTGGCCATTCTGCATGGTACACTATCTTGCTCTTTTTTTGGGTCAAATATTCCTTTCACATTGTCTGGACCTGTACTGTTAGTTTGCATTTCTCTCTCCATGGGGTTTGTTCTAGAATACTGTTAAGTGGACAACCACTTTCTGGAAGGTCAGCAGTTTTGTCTACATATTCTTTTTGCTTGATGTATAAAGCTGCTTCTTTTTAACAGTCCCAAGGCTGGGTTCCGAAATCTATTTTTCATGGGGTGATCTGGCATACTGAGGAACTTTTCAGCTTGTATTTGCAACTTTGTATCTCTGCATTCTCTCAGTGCCTGTGTTTTCCAAGCTTTCTCCATTTGTGGTTTTATAAAAGAATGCTTAAAATCCTGCAGACAGCTAAAATTAGTAATCCAGATGTTTTGAAGGCGGTGCCTATGCAGAATACAGTGAATTAAATGGTATGATAGAATCACTAATGTACACCGCTAGGAGGGAACTAAAAAAGTTCCAGTGGACAAAAAGTGAAAGAAAGTTGCTGGTGTTGGATAGGACATGTTATAGAAATCCCAAAACAATACAACTAGAATGTCCTTGCACTGGAGCCCACAGAGGCATAGAAATAAATGAAGACCAAAAACGCATGGAGAAGAGAACTAGAGAGTGCAGTTAAAAAGACGGGGAGGACATGGGAAGAGCTGCATGCGAGAACAAAGATATGACGACTTGGCATGAGTAAGCTGACGGCCTGTGTTTCATCGGGGATTAGAAAGGCAGAAGAAGAAGACCCAAGGTCATCTGTAGGAAGATGTCAACTGCAGTGAGGGGAAAAAACCGGTGTTAAAGTAACACAGAGCGTGTGATCTTACGGCAGAATTGTGGCTTTTGAGAGAAATTCAAAATAATATCATGGAATGATAGAAAAACAGACTAGTCTGTCTTCCTGATTAGCATAATTAGATGCAGCAGTCAGTGCTTTGAGAAGGAATGGACACCAGAGACTGGTAATGACTGGCAGAATTGTTGAAAAGACAGCAGAAAGAAGGCAAGAATATAAATATGTGGATGGCTTGGCTACAAGAATGGGGAAAGACAACAAATCTGACCTGACCCATTTTTGGGGAGTCCCGTGAGATGGTGAAACAAGATAGCTTAGATGAATACCCAAAGACAACCTCTCATAAACATCAAAATCAGGCAAATGTCAATGGTTGAGACATACAGGAATTCTGTGCGAGTCAAAATTAAATTGAAAGAATATTTAAAATTAGACCAACCTCCACTACTGCCTTGATGCCACTCATGGTTTTAGGTTGTGACTTCTCTGTGTACTTCACATCCATCTGTGGGCTCATCAATATCTGGCGGTTACATTCTTTGTGCTCAACCAGGGTCCTCAGTAAGCTAAGGCACTGAGGAAACAGGAAACACTTTACAAGCACAAACGCCGATGAACCACAGCCACTGGAAAATTACACTTTACAAGATCCGACAATTAAATAATGAGACTATTTCTATTGAATTTTAAAAATCAACAGTTGAAGATATAACCTGTATCTGATTCAAAGCAAGCCCCTTGTGCATTGATACAGCAAGTGGCACAATCTAACAAACACTGGAAACACCTCTGTAGTTCTATTGTTATGGCCTTTAAAGTCGTTATGGCCCTTTAGATGTCATCAATATCGTTAAAGAAGTGTCCTTTCAATGGTAACTTTAATTTTGGGAATAGAAAATAATCACAGGGAGACAAATCTGGGGATTAGGGTGGAAGTCTGAGAACACACACCTGTTTTTGGCCCGAAAATTCTTGTTTGGATGATATCTTATGGGTACTCAACCCGCTGATGTTTTTGGTCATCAGACAACAAATGTGGTACAAACCGGCAAGCAACTTTTTTCTTGCCAAAATCTTGCACTAAAATGTTATGAATGATCTTCTATTAAGACCAGATTAATCTGCCATCATCATCACAGTAAAACAATGACCTTTTTGTATTGGTTTTCTGACTTTTGCAATGAGTTCATCATTACGAACAGAAATCTGACGTCAAGTCTAGGTGCATTAGTGATCACTTGCACACCACTTTTGAATCATCAATACCACCTGAAAATTTGTGCACGAAATAAACAATTATCCCCATAAACTTGTTGCATCAATTCAACTGTTTCAATGGTGCTTTTTATGAGCTATTAAAAAAATGTAATGTTAGCTTTTTGCCCTCGTGATGATTACGTAACAATGCCACTCTGACTAGGTCAACAAAATGGCTGCTTGTTTGTTGTCTGTTTTTCGAGCGGCTATGAAAAGTTGCCAGATCATAGACGAATGTTGCCTCTTTAGATTCCATGCTTTGCTTCATAGATATTTTTATCTTGGCCATAATAAAATCAGTCTCATTACTTAATTGTCAGACACTGTACATTCAGGTAGAGTTACTAAAGTTTTCATGTTAACAAATTTTCTTCAAGCATGCCAAAATAGAAAAATAATTAATACTAGTGGTATATCTAATCTTCTTCTTCATGTACAGCATTACAACATTACGATCAATTATCCAACAAGTCAGATAATGTTTAGATTGTATATTATGAAAATAAAATTGTCGGTTCAAGAACAAAGGTAATTTCATTCAGAGACAATAATTTTATTCCTCAAACACAGGTATTTTTAACAGGCCCTTAACTCTTACTAAATGTTTATCAACTCTATTCTGACCCAAAGATCAGATATCTATCTTCTAACAAAGCCTGAGCTACGTTCTCTTTCTCTACACTCCGCAGCTACTCACAAGTCTGATATTTACTTTTTAACTTAGATAATGTTTCGGCAGAACTGTAGATGCAAATACCTGACAAACTATAGTTCTTATATTAGGACTGGGCTAAAATGCGCTTGTCGCTGGACTACGTGTTCCTTCTGCCCATGATGGGCCTAGCTTGCCTCAGTCTAACTCTGGTAACAGAGGCAGCATCCGTCTGTCCATGTTGGACCTGCCTGTCCTCCATCCGTACTACGCTACATCCTCTTTTCTCAAAGCGTCGGCAATTTGTAAACTTGCTGATTATTCTGTCAGCACATTTATCATTTATGTGTATCTGGTCTCCACAGAAATTGCTAAGGAGCATCCCCTGTCCGTACATAGAGGGGGATGTCAAATACACCAGAGATCTCTGGTAGTTTTGAAACCCATCGATGTGTTAATTACCACCCCTGCTGTTCTTAGAAATAAGCATTTTGCGCTACCAAAACCAAGCGTTAGTAGTGTTCCGACCTAGTCTGTCAATCATGTCACCCCTCTTCTACTCTTCTTGTTTTTTAATAACTTTCCTACACTCTTTTTACTCTTCTTCCTCCTTTTCTACATTCAGATACATTGATAAAACAGACATAGGAGAATCACAACACATTCACCGCTGAAAAAGACCCAAGAGGATGACACTTTATGCCCAAATACACACGAAACAAACAACACTTTATATTCACATACACTGATAAACATACAGAGAAGATGAAAACATTATATTCACGTACACTAATGACACATCCATGTACAGATGACATTTTATGTCTATATAAACAGATGCAACAGACATGGGTAAATGACTTCACATCCATATATACGGACCAAACACAGATTTTTAAAATGCTTTACACCCATAGATGAAAACAGCCAGAGGTGAATGACACTAAAGAAATAGTTCACCAAACTCTTTTGGGGGATGGGGTGGGGTGTGTGTGTTTAAAATCAAATATTTTGAATAAGCTTAACTATAACTTAAAAAAAGCCAGGACAAACCAATAACTCCAATTCGAACCTCTTCTCCACGGGGACATAACAGTGTGTAGTAGTCAAGCACCTTACGATGGTTTGCATCAGAGAGGTCTCAATCTTCAAGTCTAGATTCCCTGCCTCTGAAAGCCAATTAGTCACAACTTAAAACAGCGAGCACTAAATCATGGTTATTTAGCTGTCTGTCATCAGATCATTGTCAGAGTATTGCATTACTGATCTTTATTGGCTGAGGCTCCCATTTCTGGCCCGTGACAACCCCAGTTTCAACACGCTGGTCCATGACTAAACTTAGCTGAACAGACAAACACTAGGTATCCAAAGATTTTATACTTTAGGACAAATCCTTCCACAAATGAAAACATTATATACAACTACTAACATAAGGAAACCAGGAGATCGGTTAGTATACTACATTTGTGTTGTTTACTTCAGATGGGTTCCAGGATCAAACTGGATGCACTGTCTCCAACAAGCGTGTCTTAAAGTCAACTAATTAGCGGTTTACTGAAATTAGAAATACTGGACCAAAAGGCCCACATATTGCAGCTTAGTTATTAACCATAAAAAGGGGTAAATACAGAAGAAGAATGTTCTGTATGTATGTAATGTATGGAGACATTCATCAGCTGTCTGATAAAGAATTTGAAGAAATGGAGAGTATAACAACGGCAGCACTAAAGAGTGACTGCTTAGTTAATTAACACAACTGCCAAAGCCTGGTAAAGACCAAACAACAATACAGGGCTATCATGTAATCACCATGTAGAACATGATTGGTAAGCCATTGGAAAAGATAGTTGCAAAGAAAATATCATGCCATCTTGAGCAGTTATACTTTTTCCAAACCCAACCTGGGAAGATATCACACAGAGTGCCGGGCAAATACAGTTATCTTTGCATATAATGTCTAAGAAGGATTCCACTCAGGCATGCAAACCTGGGCTGCCGTAATTAATCTTAAGATGCATAAAACAAGGTACCATATTATGTCTACATGAGGTCAGTTTCTTGGTCCCAGTCTCAGCCTTTTTGTCACTAACTCGTTCTCCCCAAGTCTCTTCAAGCAGAAGGTGATGTTTAAATGTGGTAAATAGGTGTGCGAAAACTGGTCAATAAACTAACTGGATGAGGAATAAACCTTTTACTTTTAGTTGTATATTAGTAAAATTAGTATCTTGGGGGGGGGGGGGGGGGGGGGGGGGGGGGGGGGGGGGGGGGGGGGGGGGGGGAACAGTACAAACCTGTGGAACTCACACATAAAGGATCAAACCCTGACAATTCACCCCAGAAAGCAAGAGGCTATAACACAGCACTCAATCCTGCTAAAGATGTAAAAGTAGCTGCATGACTGGTTAGAGTACTAGGCTCTCATGCAGGAGACAGGGGTTCAATCCTCAGTAAGAGATGAAAACTTTTTTTGCCAGGGACAAATTCTAACCTGCACTAGTCATGTGGCTTTAAATCCACTGGTTAAAGACACTTCCTTCCTCCAGTGGTAAATACAAACAGTAAGGAGATAAACATATAAAGATGTTAGAAAGAAACCCACCACTCTCAAAGGTTAAAGTATCCAACACCATCAACACATCCATCATGCAAATCAAGATCTTGTAACCAGGAAAATGTTTCAGTGCTTTGTTCTTTTCCACATTTTTTAGAACATTGTAAGATGGCATGTAAGTCTGGCACCTTTGCAATATTCTACAGGAAATAAAACTGTTTTCATCAAACACTCACAAGCACAGAAATGTTTCTGTAGCAAAAACTATGCAACAACATTTGCCGAAATGTTCAAAACAGTTGCAAAAACTACACAACAACGTTTGTTGAAAAGTTCAAAACAGTAGCAATAACTAAGCAACAATGACTGCTGAAATGTTTAAAACAGTAGCAATAACTACACAACAACTAGCAATAACTACATAATAATGTTTGCTTAAATGTTCAAAACACTAGCAAAAACTATGCAATAACGTCAGTTGAAATGTGCAAAACAATAGCAATAACTACGCAACAAGATTTAATGAAATGTTCAAAACAGAAGCAATAACTATGCAACACTGTTTACTGAAATGTTCACAACAGTAGCAATACCTACAGCACACTAGTTATTCAAATGTTTAGAACATAATCCAAAGATCCTGACTGGACCATAATATTCATGTATCACGTCATTGCAGAATGTTGCTCTTAGTTTAGCATGCCGGAAAGCTGCCAGGTCCATTTCTGCCTCATGATCGTTTATGCAGAGGGTGTACTGATACCTTGTACCCACCATCATGCGGGTTGACCAATGCTTACTGCCATACCCTCCACTAGGGTTTCCTCTAAATCATGATGTCAGTCACAATAGATGGAGTATCAGTATCAATAAACATCAATTGTATAATACTGAAGGATGCCAATATTGTTTATCAGCTAATCCCCATCAATGTTCAGATACTGAAGGGTGCTAGTATTGTGTGAGGTAAACCTAGACAAGAATGTTTAGTGTCAAACAAGTCCAGTAGCATAATCTTCTACATCAGTCAGCAAGCTGTATGATTATTATTATGATATTGAACACGTTCTCAATGTGCTCAGTCCCCTCTGTAGTAAATCAAGCAGCATAAAACAGCTGCACACTGTTGCTAAAGGTGTTTGAAGTAATATACTTATATATAAATAAATGTGACGTTTGTCACGTCTAACCCATTATGAGGAACCGTGGCAGCGTCATGATTAGATGCCTGCCTGCGCCACTGAAGGTTTTAGGTTAGAATACACACCAAGGCAGATAATGTTTTTTTGACCTTGGCCCCCTGCAAAAAATGGGTACCTGGAAATGTCCTGGGAAACCAAGGTGACCGGTGTGATGTTGACAACTTCAGCTAAGTGCAGACTAGTGTATAAACACATAAGTCAGGCATCATATACCCAATTTCCCAGTAGCATAAAAAGGGACTTTACCAACCCAGTAAAATATTTGGAAAACAACTACAAGTATACAATCCCTACATTACCTGATACAGGCCTGAACAAATGCTGCGTTCTTGTAGGAGATCAGGTAGTTCTGGCTGTCAAAGTTGATCGAGCTTATCTGCAATTGAAACAGGCACTTTTTTAGCTAGACCCTGGTCCAACTTACAGTAAACAACAAAAACAACATGGCACCCAACCATCTTCCCTAAAAACTTGAAGGGAACATCAATGCCTGAAATGAACTTCTGCTTTTATTGGAGTCACTTGAGGCCTAAACACAAACAAGGATCACCATCATGTGCCATGATGCCTGGTTGCCTAGAACAGCTCTTGATGATATCCCTCCATGCCATCATTTCAGCGCATCCAGCATCATATCTCTTGGTCTACCTCTACCCCTCTTTTGATTGATCTGTCCAGTTGTCACGATATTTTCCAATGCCTCTTTTCTATTTACAGTGTCCCCCCTCCCCTTTTTTTGGTTTACATAGAGATCTACTTTCATTAGCAAACAAGGAAGAAGTTATATAAACAGAAAATTCCAGCATGTGATAAACCAGAAACAAAGGTTTCAAAATGCTGCAACTGACACACTACGACCATAGCACAATGTTCTTGAATACAGGAACTTCTGTGCAAGTTTTCTTTAAATTCATCATCATCAGGTGCCTTGCTGACTGGCCTGGGCAATCAGGCCTCTCCACAATCTGTGATCTCCTGCAGCATGTATCAGTTCATGTGCCGGCACACCTCCATGCCATGCAACAAGACTATCAAGCATCTTCTCTCATTGTCTTTCTCTATCCCTCCTTCCACAGATCTTTCCAGTGGTCACAACTTGTTCTATTTTCCCTCTTCTCATAATATGGTCAAAAAATGATGATTGTCTCCTTTTGATGTCTGTGATAAGTTGTATGGCAATATTCAGAATAATGGTCCCAAATTATTGAGGCCAAAAATATCCCTAACATGGACTAATTCATATGTAAATTGCGGACTTCCGGCGACTAACGCCACCACCTAGAATTTCTTAGGAGGCCTAAACTAGATGGCTGGGACTCACAAGCAGCGGCTACCGCATCTCCTGCAGCTTTCTTCATTTTATTTGCTCGTGTGTTTCAGCCATGTAGTTTAGCCCCACTCCGCGCAAGATACTCTTGGCGGTCGCAGTAGTCGCCGGAAGTCCACAATATACATGTGACTAAGGCCCTGGTAGGGTATATCTTCAGCCTCGATAATTTATGACCATTATTCTGATATTTTTTGGGCACCCATCTTTTTCAAAACCTCCTGGTTGCTCCTTTTGGCTATCCAAGGTATTCTTCTGTAAAACCACATCTCTGAGGCCTCAAGAAATTATTTTACCTGCCTGCCGATTGACCAGGATTCACAGCCATATGTTAAAACTGGATGTATGTAGCAAGCATTTGACTGTGTGAAGCATGAAGAAGTAATCAAACTGTTAACAAATTAAACATTGATGGGAAAGATCTACGAATAATAAAGAATATGTATTGGCAGCAAACAGCAGCTATAAGAATAAACAACTGTTTAGGTACATTTCAAAGCATAAAGAGGGGCGTACGACAAGGATGTGTACTGTCACCTGATTTGTTTCCAATATACAGTGAATATATAATGAGATCTTTAATTGGTATGCCTAGAATTGTGGTTGGTGGGCACAATATAAACAATTTACGTTATGCTGATGACACAGTCTTGATAGCAACAAGTCAGAAAAACTACAGGAAATGATAGACATTGTGGTGTTAGAAAGTTCGAATAATGGGAAGACAGAGAAGTAATGGTGGTATCAAAGAAACAAATTATCCCTAAGTGTTTAATAAAAGTTGATGGTGTTATTTTAGGAAAAGAACAGAAATTTAAGTATCTGGGCACATGGATAATATCAGATGGAAGATGCATAACTGAGATAAGAAGAATAGGAGAGGCAAAAACTGCATTTTATAAAATGAAAAACATCTTGTGCAATATATCCTTGTCATTGAGTTAGAATAAGAATGGTGGGGGTGGTTATGAGATGTGGTGAAGGGTGTTGTGGAAAGGGGGAAAAAGAGGAGGTGAGAGAGAGAGAGAGAGAGAATATAGATTAAGGAAAGAAAGTGGGGAGAGACAGGGAGAGAAAGAATGGAAGAAGAAAGAGAGAAAAAGATACAAAAGGAGAAGAGAAGATCAAGCAACTGCCCCCCCCCCCCCCAACATTTACAACAAATGTAGTAACACACACAAAAACCTAATTTAGGCGCATCTACCTTTTGCTAAAAATGACATCAATGTATGCTGTACATTTACCAGAAATGACCAATAAACGAGAGAGGAAAATCTGAGGGGAAGGGGGACTGGGAAAACAGTAAAGGAGAGGGTAAAAGAAAGACAGAGAGAAAGAAAAGATGAAGACTAGAGGAAAGTGAGAGAGAAAGAATGCAAGGAGACAGGAAGTAGGGGGGAAAGGGGTAGAAGAGTGAAAGAGGGAAGAAAAGACAGGGAGAGGTGAGAGAAAAGAAGAGGGAAGCCAAACACCAAGTCCGTCTATATAAATAGCTGAAGTCAGATGTGCCAAACTCACTGTAAAGATAAACCATAAATAGAACTGGGAAATCCAGCTGATGTCACTTTGCTAGCCCCACCATCTCCCAGTGTAAGTATGGCTTCTAGAAACAATGGCGCACAAGGGGCTGCTTCCTCCCGCCCCATGCCATACAGCTGCTGTCTGCGTGTATCCGTGGGCTGCAACACAGCTCGCCCTTCCCTTCTTCTGCCTTTCTATCCCCCAATGGAGCATAGGCCCTCAACCAACTCGAGCCAAGTCGTTCTATCCTTCGCCATTGCATGGAGCTCTCCCCATGTCCTCCCAATCTTTCTAACCTCATTCTCCAGCTCTCTTGTCCATGTGTTTTTTGGCCTTCCTTTCTTCCTATGCCCCTGTGGGTTCCAATGCAAAGACATTCTAGTTATGTTGTTCTCCTGTTTTTTCAGTGTGTGCCCTATCCAACACCAGCGTCTTTTCCTTACCTCGTGGTCAACTGTAGCCTGTTTAGCCCCCCCCCCCCCCCCCCACCCGAAGTTCTACATTAGTTATTCTATCATACCATTTTATTCCCTCTATTCTGCGCAGGCACCAGTTAATGAATGTCTGTAATTTATTAGTAATTGCCTTGGTTGTTCTCCATGTTTCCACCTCATACAATAGTACTGATTTGACATTAGAATTAAATTTTTAGTTCAGTATTTCTTTTAATTTCTTTTGACCTCCACAAATTCCCTAGTGCTATGAAAGCCCCTCTTGCCTTTTGTATTCTTATTTTAATATCTCTATCAGTTCCTCCATCTTTATCTACATTACTGCCCAAATAGGTGTAAGACTCCACGTCTTGGAGTGGGGTACCATTAAGAGAAACCACATTACTATTTGCCTGATTTATTCTCATTATCTTTGTCTTTCCTTTATGGATTTTCAGACCAAGCTGCTGTGATCTCGCATCAAGTATATTTAATTTATCTTGCATCTGATTCCGTGAATGGGACAGAAGAGCATTATCGTCAGCGAAGTCCAGATCATCAAGCTGTTTTGTAGGGGTCCACCGATTTCCATTCTTGGTGTTAGCAGTTACTGTTTTCATAGTCCAGTCTATAGCCAGTAAAAATAAGAGAGGCAACAAAAGACATCCCTGTCGCACACCTGTTTTTATTTCAAATGCATCTGTTAGCTTTCCCTCATGAAGAACTCGACATTTCATGTCTTTATATGTTGCCTTTACTAAGTTGATAATTTTCTATAGGATTCCATAGTGCCCCATCAATTTCCAGAGAGATTCCCTATCAATGCTGTCAAATGCTTTTTCATAGTCTATAAATCCAATGTAAAGTGGTGAATTTGGTTCAATGCTTTGCTCTATTATAATACGTAATGTGGCTATCTGGTCAGTACAGGATCTGTTCGACCGAAAGCCTGCCTGCTCATCTCTTAGCATTTTATCAATAGCATCTTTTAATCTTTCCAAAATAATTCTACTCAATATTTTTCCACGAACTGACAGCAACACAATTCATCTTTAGTTTTCACACTCCTGTAGATCACCTTTTTTTTTCTTCTCTTTCTTTTTCTCTGGTTGGTTTTTGTGACTATGGTTTTTACAGGATGAGGTAGCCAACCTCAAGCCAAACCCTACCCTTAGTCGCCTCTTACGACATGCCTGGTTCGCCCTTCCCTAGCCCTTAACAAAGCCATTTCAGCTGAAAATGGCAAATAATCAACTGCCCAAATACTGCAAACGACTGTAAATATCCAAAATAAAGGTAGCCAAATGGCCAAAATTATTAGCAAAATGGTCAAAAATTTCAGGGTTTCAATGATAGTTTTGTTTTACTTTAAGTCAACCATTGCCGCGGTCAAAATACCAGGTTTATCTAGGTCAGAGTGTCATTTCAAAAGTCAAATTCCAGGTTCACTGTCCTAATTTCCTGGTTAAATTCAAGATTTAAGGTCGGCTACGAACCCTGTAACTTGATTCTTACTTAAATAGTTTAAGAGGTCCATTTTTTGGCATTGTGTGTCATTATTTCTTTATTTGTGTTTTCGTGAATATCAATATCACTACCTAATTAAGTATTTTTTTCCTTGGCTTAAAAAATTTAGGACTGCTTAAGCAACAGTACAGCAACCTGGAACTGAGTTTTCAATAATCACTTGACCTTTTCTTTTTTTTTTTTTTTTTTTTTTTTTTAAACAATAATGAAGGGGATTTAAAGTTAAAACCTGGTTTTGAAATTCAGAACAGAGTTTCAAATGATGGTTTTAAAAAAAAGCAGCAGCCAACTGAAGCTATTTGATACAAAACAGGAGACATTGAGAAACACGCTTAGGAGAAGATTCACATTGAGAAACACGCTTAGGAGAAGATTCCAGTACTGATTATAATGCCTGACTACAATGAAAAAAATCTAGGAATAAACAATGAACTACAATGACACCAAACATATCATTCATCATCATGCATTACCATTATAAGCCAAATAAGGAACACAGTCTAGGCCTTCATTTATTGCTATCCTGTGCAATTCTTTTGATATCATAGACTGAATCCAGTCCCAGAAAATGTGGTCCCTCTCAAGCAGGGTTTAGGTTAGTCTTGGGTATCTCCATATCCTTAATACATTCGTTTCTCATTTAGTTGCCTGCTTGGCCATTCTCTGGTCATTTCTCCTCACGATGTGGCCAGTAAATTGTTCGTTTACTTGTCTTGACAGAAGATATATTAACTACTTTTCAAGCGAATGCCACAACTCTAAACCAAGTAGGTGACTTACCTTGGTTAAGAACTTAAGACAGCGATTCAGCTTTTTGAGAACAGGTAACGTCTTCTTGGTGGCCTGTGAGATATCCTCTGGCAGGCTATGTTCACAATCTGTCACTATGGATGATAGCAAGCAGTGAGCATAATAACTCCTGAATACTTATTAAGTTATTTGCAAATACCCCCCCCCCCCCCCCCCCCCCCCATGTAGACCAAAACAACCCACTGCCTCTCTAACAAGCATGTCATGTAGTTGACTACTTATGAATTCCTTCAAAGTGCATCTGCCTGAGAGGCAAGGAACCAACAGTTTGCATACAATAAGACCAGATCTGTAAAATGGGTGTACAGGCAAAAATCAGGTAATTGAAACTGCTTAGAAAAAGAGCTAATGGACTTAATAATCACAAATGACAAAGATTATGGTCTGGCTAGAAAGCCTTTAACGCAAATAGACAATACAATTACGAACAAGAATACTTAAATATCACTCAACTTTGGGGTGAGACATATTACAGAATAACCATTATGCTTGAACAGTAAGTCTCTTACTGATAACATGTAATTCCAGGACTAAAATACTGGTCAGGAAGTGGTGGATGATTATCACAGAATATCCGTCATGCTTAAACAGTAAGGTCGCTGTAGGAATAAAATATTGGGTTCAAAGAGATGGGAGGGGTGGGTGAGCTGAGAGTTCGCTGCATAGGGTGTAACTTGACATTTTTTTTAAAATGTCGTGATGGATATTAGGGCCTTCAAAAAGAGACAGTACTTGACAGACAGACAAGATTGTTCTGAAGATATATGTAGACTCTTTCACTGGAATGACTGGACAACAAATGTGGAAGAGTTCTCACAGCTTTATAGGGCCAGTCCTGGTGTACAGAAATCAATCAGATAGACATTAAACTAGTGAGAAATTATATGAAAGCGGCAAAAATAAGGATTTCAGAAGAATGGTGATATTATGGAAAGGGAAAAGTGTAATGAAGATGTGAAAGAAACTCGTAAAGAGAATTATCTGTCTACAGCATACAACAGTTTCCATTCTTTCAGCATGTCAAGAAAAAAATAATAACTGTAGTACTTTCTGACAACAGAAAAACTGGAGGGGAAGAGGGACAGGAGAAACCATGAGAGAAGATTTTCAACAGTTTGCATCAAGGTACAGATGAACTTCAGTATTAGAAATGACTGACAGGATACACATGATGACCAATGCCACATTGCATGGACTAGAAGAACAGATGAATAAAAATGGCAGCACTATATGAACAAATGAAATGCACACACTGCCAACTTATGTTACAAAACTTATATAAAATACAAACAGAACTTGCTAAATACTGTAACATCTGACAAAAAACTTACAAAAATCCACAATACGGCCGAGGCCCCAAGGAGACCATTCATTGAACCACTCGTCTGCACGTTTTAATGTCAAGCTCAGCAAGGACTCCATAGCAAGGTTACCAGTCTGTATAAGAGCAAAGAGTTATTTGTAACCTTTACATCTAAGCTTAAACAAAAAAAATGTAGCAAGCAATGACAGTTAACGGGCTGAACACAAGGCTCCTTATAATTTTTCTGCTTCTTTACTACATTTTATTATCATCATGTTACAGGAGGATTTGTCCTGGCAAGTAATAGCAGCTGTGTGATATTTACCACAACACACACCAAGAATGAGCTGTTTGAGAATGGAGGTAGAGGTAGTCACTGCTGCCTTCCGCTGGCTTGAGAATCAGCTGTACACACATGCCACATTGTAACAGCCTCACAGAGCATGTAGCAAAAGATGGAGACAGGCATGCTCCGTGCAGAGTGGCAAGCATCCCTGCAAAGGTCCTAGGTAGTTAGCATCCTTTGCATTTTTTCTTCAGGTTGTGTCTGTGTGTTGGGAAATGAGCAGGCAGATAGACTGGACAGTTCTGCACCACTTAGTGGTGAAACTGAGGTATGACAAGCTGGATGCTGTGAGGGCCTTTTAGGAGCAAGTGAACAGTGCCAAAACACAGATAGATCATTACGGTCTCAGAAGAATGGCACTGCGAGGAGTTATAAGGGCATCTGGTCGACGGCTATACAATCGGAAGGAGGGGGGGGGGGCCGAGACGGCTTTATAATTAGAAAGTAACTGGTACCATCATAATTTCAACTCTTCCCTAGTTGCTGAGGATGGGGATGGAGCATGGGGTTGTCCCGAGTGCTGTGATGTCTTTTCTTATTTCAACATTCAACATTTTTATTTGACTGACCTATACAAAATTGATGCGGCGCCGGTGGCTTAGACATTGCGAGTCCGACTCATAATTCCAACATACCGCGATCGAAACCCACTGCTGGCTGAATTGATCTTTATCATGGTATGGGGTGTCGCAGGTCGACCCAGCCTAAAATGGGTGCCAGGATGGCTGTCCTGGGGAAAGTAAAGACGGCCGGCGTAATGCTGACCACATTCCCCACCCAGTGCCGATAGGTCTGTAAAAATGTGGGATGCTCTTCTCATATGCCCGATGCGCCTAAGGCGTGAAAAGGGATCTTTACACAAAATTTGGAGCTACTTTTCATGTAAAATTATGCTTAATGTGGATATTGTAGCTTTCTCACTAGATGTCATGGCTGATATGAAGTAATATATATCCTTGAGGTTCCCTTCCTGCCCTTAGATCCTAAGAAAGACGCTTTGGAAGAAAAAAACGAAACATGTAAGCGTGTGTGTGACTCACTGCTTAACAAGGCGCTCATTGGCCTCATAGGAGCGACTAATAAAAGATTTGCTAAAATCTAATGCACTGGGCTGACAGGCACATGAAGCATAGCCTGTCTGTAAACCATAATATAATATACCCAAATGCACTTTCAAGGGCAAATTTTTTGGAGAAAAAAATTCATTAAACCTACCAGACCGCTCATCCGTTTTTCCGGAAATTTCTGTATACCGCTGGCCCTAAATTTAGGCTATTTGCATAGTGCGTGAAAAAGAAGCGTCACTTACTAAAAATAACCAACCAATCGTCGTCAATCCGCTTTGTTAGAAATTGCAAATGGCTCCCTCGTGTGTGAATCAATTTTGTGTTTTAACGTTAAAAAATTCAGAAAATTTAGAATGAAGCAAACGGATGATGAACCAAGTTCTAGGCTTTTCACATTCCAACAGGTGATCGATACTTTGGTTTATTCAGACTCTGTGAAATATATATATATATATATATATATATATATATATATATATATATATATATATATATATATATATATATATATATATATATTCATTATCTGTGATAATTTCATAAAGAATACGTTCTTGAAATGACAGTCAGTGAAAGCGCAAATGATGAGGAAAATCTTGAAAATTATCAATTTTGAAATAGATCGATAGTATGAGGAGGGGAGGGTGTCCATCAAACGGCAACATCTGGTGTTCACTTTGTGAAAAAAAGTTGATCCTGATGAGTGAATTCACACACAAAGGTGGAATATTGGCTCTAGATAAAAGGTAAGCCTATTTTCTACAATGTCTCCAAGTTTCATCATATTCTAGCCACTTGTTTGCATGTAACTAATATTTTTGTATATCAAGTTGGTTTTTTCGCGGTAATGCCCAGGAGCTTAGGTTATAGGGACAGTTATGTTCAGGGCCTTAGGTCTGGTAGGGTTATAAGAAGAATAGGCACTGAGCCAACTCAAACCTAGCAGACGTGAACAAGCCATAAATCTACACCACAAAACATAAATGCCTTCCTGTGTGTTCATTTTAATTCAACTGTTAACTTCTCCCAAACCCTGACCACTACACAGGTTACATTTTAATTTGCTATTGAATAGCTAAATATTTAATTTGACACTGATATTAACTTTCCATAACTTCAGGATAATGTGGTTAAAGATGAGATTCAACAAGAAATGAGAAAGCTATAAACAAACTTTCCAAGCGAATATTTAGACAACGATTCAAAGTGGACATATTTTAGGACACACTTCAAACCAAATGCGGAATCAGAAAGGTAGGTGGTGTAAAACGTTTAAGCACTATTTTGTGGAACAACAAAGTTAAAGACAGCGTATCCAGAAAGACGGAGGCATATAAAAAATGCATAAGATCTAAATCACAACTAGATTATGTATATTACAGATTAGCAAGAAGAGAAAAGCAAAATGCAAAATTAAAACATCTAAAGATGAGTCTTGGAGAAATTATGGTCAACAGATGGCTACCTTCAACAAGAACTTCCCTAGAGAATTCTTTAAACATGTTAACATGGCCCCCTCCGCCAGCTAACGTAACCACTGTGCTAAGCCAGGCGAGCACTAATCTTTCCTCCTGTGCTAAATACACTTCCACCTCCAAAAGCAGAAGACGCGTTTGCAGCGCAAGGTAAAAATTTTACACCTAAAATAAAAACATGGCTACGCCATGAAAACTCATTAACCCTTTCATTGCTAAGCCCGAGATAACTCGTCTTCCGTTTTCTGTGCCCTCACTGCTAAGGACAAGTTAACTCTTCGACTTTTCTTACAGATTGCTAAGAACCATAATTCTCGGGGGTGAAATGGCAATAAACATTAGCTAAATCTGATCAAACTGACACATTTAAATACAATAAAAACACATATCACATTCGATTAGGTGTATTTAGATGCATTTCACATTATCCTGTTGCTTTGTTACCATAGAAGCATGGTCAGTGAACAGTATATTTTTGGCCATGAAATACATTTCTGGTTTTGTTGCGTAAGTCTTTTTTAAATACAAAATAACAAGAAAATTTGTTAATTAAAGTTAATGAAGAATTAATGGAGTTTCTTTCAAGAAGTAATAGTAAAGATCACTTTGAAACGTGTGTTATACGAGCTGGGTTATCTTTGCGGCACGCTGGAGGACATGTGTACTTCTAGCCGTGAGCCTGACTGACCATATGACCCAGCTTACATAGACTGGATTTGAATTGGATCCCCAATAATCAAAATGAAGATATGGTCACGTACTAACATGATGATTAATATTAATGTTTCTTATATACTATACAAATGACATAAATATGTCTGTATATCATAGTCTACAATACTGGTCCTATTGTTAGTTCTAATATCCAGGGGTGTTCAACCCTACTTGCCTTTTTTTAAAAAGTTTTAAATGTAAATTTTAAATTTAAGCGTGGTTGGTGTACTGAGTATTTGTGGGGGAAAAAACATCTGTTGCCGAAAATCACTTAGTGTTAGTAAGAGAAATTCTACAGAAATGTCGCAAGGAAAAGAAAAAAAAGTGTCGAAGGACAAAAAAAATGAAGATCCGCCACTTCGTTTAGTACAAATGCATTCCCTTCAACAATAGGGTCCGTAACATCACAAAAGAAATTCCCAACAAGAAGGCGTGTGGTATGCGCAAAAAAAAAAAAATCAACAGGAAACCAGATACATGTGCAAGGACTGTGATTTGGCATTGTGTCGCACCTTATTTTGAAATATTTCACACAAAAATATTTATTAATGATAATTAAAACATGTATTTGCTTACTAAAGTGTTTTGTGTTTGCTTTGTAATATAATGGGTGTTCATGGCATAGCCATAGCGCGTCTGACTTGTCAGCGCAAAGGTCGACCATGCACCTCCAAAGAGTTTTTTATTTTAGGTGTACAATTTTTTACCCGGCGCCGCAAGCTCGGCTTCTGCTTTTGGAGGGGGAAAAGCACAGTGGGAAGGATTAGCACTTGCATGTCTTAGCACAGTGGTGACATTGGCTGGCGGAGGGCGGGCGCAGCAGCAAAGTGGTCTGGTGAAAACTGCAGTGGGAAGGGATCAGGAATATGGTTGACACACAACACTCAGGGGAAAGGCGAGATGGAAATAATAAAGTGCTACTGGTACCATCAATCATATGCGCTGGCTGATGAAAATTGAAAGTGTATGGGAATGTCACAAGCGGTGTGATGATGGTTCTTTTTAACTCAAAACAACCGACAAACCAAACACTTGCCAAGACAAACCTCACACTTATGTCACTCCTAACTACAGTGACAAAACCAAAAACATACTTACAGAGACAAAGCCCAGGTCAATTTTTCCAGCATGTTTTTCCTGGGGTAAATGGGTCAATAATTCCTTGACCTTCTGCTTAAAATTCTTCAGCTCTTTCAAGGCGGATGTGTCCAGATAATGGTGCTCAACAGTATCGGCCTCACTCAGTCTCACCATCAGGGTTAGGCTGTCCTCGTCAAGGTCCATGTTCAGAGAATCACGACTAAGCAAGAACATCATGGCAGAGGTGCTCAGTGCCAAACACTAGCACAGAAATTAAGAATAAGTTCACATACACAAAACTTGATAATTTGAAAAAAAATTAGCAGAACATATATGTTTGTCCACAAGAGAGAAACTACAAACAAAAATTATTCTGAATTTTATTTTTAATGTCCACGTTTGGCATGGAGACAGAAATTTGGTGAGAAATACTGCGTTGAAGAGTGCTCCTTTAGCATTAATTGTTACATGTTTGTTCTGCAGAATTAGGGACATCTGCCCATTGATTTGATTTATCATATCTGTGTTCTATCTTTGCATCCATTTTTTATTGGATGATATTCTTTTTCTGTTATATCTTATAGATACTTTTTCTTGCCTGCATTGGTTATCTATGCATATCTTGATTGGTTGTTCTGTTCTTGCAATGGTCATAACTTCTGGTTTTATTTTCATGTTTTGTGCTGTAGCTGGTATGATAAGATTTTCAGGACACCAACCCACTGTAGTCTAGTCCATCTGATGTTGCTCTGCCCACTGCATGCTCTAATGATGATGTCTGTCAATCAAGTCTAAACCAACATTATGTCATCTTGTAGTTCAGCTTGTACATTTGACTGTCAGTCAAGAGACTTGCTATGTCTTCCCACTACTGCTGTTTGCTGTTCGACTTTTGGGAAGAACATGATTCCTCAGCACAATATCACAATCTTGCATAGTGGTAGTAACTCACAGATTGACACTCTGACACATATCCCGAGCACTGTTGCTGGTTCCATAATATTCACTGAGATGTATAACAGTGCCATGGTGGTAATTTATTCTTCTGACAATGGCCCACTAACATACCTTTAACACACTGATGGTTGTTTTCAGACAGTCATAGCATTGCAAGCACATGTACTGGGTGATTTGTCTCAATGGCCTTTTTATACAGACCATTCTACTACAATGCCTATACATTTTCAAGATCATAACTGTCTGGAATGATGCTGCATGTGTAAGTGTCAATGTTTTCCTGCAGTCTGTACACAAACCTCCGGTTTAATTATGCAGTTTCTATTCCAGCAGCCACTTGCTCTCTACATCATGACAAACATGAAAAATCCGTTCCTATGTGTTTTTCATTTTCTCAACAACAGTACATATTGTAGTGGGTGCAATGTATTTCTCTCTACATGCTCAATAAAACTGCAGAGAGGATTAGAACTTTGGTTGTCCCAGTAGACAGCAGTGACAAATTTACATGTAAAGTTGATGATAGACTAGCTTGAACATGAGCTAGACATATACTGATTTGTCTTTAATCACAGTTCCAAGCTGCAAGCCAGTCTTCTGTCAAAACAGCGGTAGACATTCTTGTCATCCATTTTTACCAAAAACTGGACCATACCAGACCCAGAAACCACAAGCAACACACCGGACCAAGGAAGCAAAGGATGGGAATATCAAGTGTGACTACACACCACAAATAAAAGGAAACCGAAAAGAAAGCCAATGAACCTTCCTTCATATAGCAGGCCTTCGGGCAGCTGAAAAAGGATCAAATTTGGAATTTTTGTTGGACAACTGGAATTGGAATAAAAATTGATCTGGCTTTTAAAGTTGTACCAGACGCTCATCTATAAGAGTAACAGAAAATATACAACAATATAAAAAAAACACTACATTTTTATCTTAGGCAGTGAGGAAAAGGATAAAATAAATGGGCAGTGTAAGCCAGTTATTACCATCAAAACCAAGCAGGAAAATATCAAGCTGACAAAATATATGAAAGATTTGTTAAGAGAGTTGCTACTGTGAGAAAATCTGTCATTTATACTCTGCAATGCATCCATATATCCCTTCTGTCCACCTTCCATTTATGCATCTTCTTCTTTCACATTCACCCTTAAAACGGCGGTTAAAACGTTTTAGATTTACATCAAGGCTGCAATGTCTTGTGTATTTCCGTCGAAAACACCAAAGTTGCACCTTAAAAATGCAGAAGTCTGGATGGAGAAGGAATACACCTACTTTAATTCTTGTAGTTAACACGTGTGATTCAGTTTATGTGAGTAGCAATCCTGTCTACAAGAAACAATATTAGAACATTCACTTACAGGTTCAGAGCAGGCATCATGCAGGCGGCTGACAATTTTTGTGACTGTCCCATGAGCACGAAGATGTTTACGGAAGGAAGGTGAGAGGCACTTGCTAGCTAGTTTGAGGCAACTGAAAAAATATCAACAAAATAAACGATTTTTTGTTCATTCGAATAATTATTGATACTAAACATTTAAACGATTGAGTGTGCATCACAGCTGACAGGTGTGTTGCAATTCATTATGTGCACTAAACCAAAAGCTTGGTCAAATCACTATCGTGTGCAAATCACACAGACATCAACATTTCTCCACAAATCATCCAATGTATTCTGGATTTATTCTATTGATATTCTACCATCTTAGGCTTTTCAGCATAATTTCTCTCTTTTTCGATCCCTGATCTTTCTGTCATGTTTTTCAGTGCTCTGTTGTCATTATATGACAAAATAGTATTACTGGTAGTGAAAAAGCCAGGAGCTAGAAGAAACAGTTTTTTTCCCTAGGGGCGAAAATATTCAAAAGAGAAAAAAAAACAGGATTGGCACAGGTCGATGTCCTAAGCTTCAACATAAGAGCACCAATACAACACAAGTGGTAATGATCAGTGGGCCATTTGCTATTCCTCTGTGGGCTGGATTTCACCCACTGGCTACCAGATGAATAGCCCTGTTATGGTTGCTTACAATATTCATACAACACATGAGAAACAATCAGACAATCTCTACATCCCCAGGGTTGTTACTCTGGCTGTTCAAGATATCTGTCTCAGAAACAACATTTCTGCTGTCTAACAGGTTTAATACCATGCCTCACCAGAAAAATGTATGTAGGAAAGTGACAGACCTAAGGCAGCGTACAGAAGTGGGGTTTGTATCCTGTAAGCTATCCAGCAGATAGCCAACATCATCCACGAAATCGCGAGTCTCTCCCAACTCCTGAACTTTATGCGATTGCTTGACATTCTGAACTACAGTGTGCATCTGAAATAAAACAAAATTTGACAATATAATATAATGGGACAAGTAAAATAAACTTAGTTCTGTTAAATTCTGTTTTTAACACATAACTGTAAATAATGAACATGTTATTACCACTTCAGAAACAATAACACCGATAAAGATTTCACACAAAAATGCTAAAATTAGTTGCAGGATACCATCTGTCTGTTAAGAAACTTGTATAACACTGATAGGGTTTTTACAAAAGAATTTAAAACTGCCTTCAGGACATCACCCCTGTGTATTACAGGACTAAACACCTGCTGTGCTAATTGTTCATAACATAAGACTTTCTTGCAGTCGATTCCTCCATTGTTATACCCTGTGCAATCATCCCCAAATTGTTTAGAGAACCCAGCCCAGTACCCCTGGCTGCTCTTATCAACATTCATCTATAAGCTGTCTTTACCTCATTAATCCATGTTTCCAATTTGTGTGCCTGATTCGCTGTCCACATTTCAGAATGAGCCAAATTCGTTAACTTAAACCAGGCTCCTATTCTAACAAGCAGTTCACAACTCTGTCATCTTTATGCCTACTTCCTTTCTTTCTGTTGACTGGGTAACAAACATAAAACATACTATAAACATTACAATTACACAAAGAATGTTGTGATTTTTTATTACCACACAGCACTAGAGTTATCTAAGGGAGAAGCCTGAAACCTTTATGAGTAATTAAAATGAACTGCATACACCAATCATATAAATTAAGACTTTGAATCATAATATTTAAAACATTTAAAACATAACTATCTAATGTTATGTATAATATCTATGTACCAGTCCTTACCCATGGGTATGAGTCATGGGCAATGACAACAGCTCACAGAAGCCAGCTTCAGGCCTCAGAAATGAGATATCAGAGAAAGGTGGTTCAAATAACAAGAAGAGACAAAGTCAGCAATCAGACAATTGGTCAAGATCTTGTTACCCAGTCCTCACAAATCCGAGTGGATCAATCACAGTTACGATGGTTTGGATATGTATGCAGAATGGAAGAAAATCGGCCATCATAGTTGGAATGTGGGAAGCTAAGAACCAGACCTCCAGGGCAACAGATGTCTGGCAATCTCTCTGGCAAACCTCTACACCCCAAGGCAGAAGAGGAGCGACTAAGGGTGTTATGTATATATTTAACATGATTATATGTCCCAGAACCTAAACAATGAACACTAAAAAAGTTTATATAGGCCCTGAAGATGTAAAAAATATCTTTAAGGGCAACAAAAACAATTAAATAGAGAGGAATGACAAAATAGTTGATATAAGATGTAATACAAAGAAGAGACAAGCGATATATTCCAGATGACATAAAAAGGTGTAATGGTGTGGATACGTTGTAGGCAGGTAAGTAACAGATGGCAAGCAAATCCTTTCAGAACGCACAAACCAGGTGGTATATAAAAAAAAGTGTGAGGGCTGTGCAGAAAATGTGTGAGGATTATAAAACCCACCTGAGGAGCATAAGATCTGAAAACTTGAGAGCTTTCACTACTGCGTCCTGTTAAGACATTGCCTGCCTTCGATAATGGAGATGATGATGTGGCACTACCTGTCACAGAAACCTTAGAATGCCTGCTACTGGTGGCATGTTTTGTAGAAGATGGATTGACTGACTGAAGAGTGATTGCACTGCCATCAGAAGATGGTGCAGTGTCTTTTGAATTAGCTGCCAAGGCTGAAACATTCTGAAGACAAACACTTCTCCGTACGGGCATAGTTTCCTTTGAATTAGCTACCAAGGCTGAAACATTCTGAAGACGAGCACTTCTTCGTACTGGCATGGTTTCCTTTGAATTAGCTACCAAGGCTGAAACATTCTGAAGACGAGCACTTCTTCGTACTGGCATGGTTTCCTTTGAATTAGCTACCAAGGCTGAAACATTCTGAAGACGAGCACTTCTTCGTACTGGCATGGTTTCCTTTGAATTAGCTACCAAGGCTGAAATAACCTGAAGACGAGCACTTCTTTGCGTGGACACTGCCTCTGTATTGGCTGATGTGGATTCTGCATTTTCATATGATGTAGCTTGTGAGCAGGTTCCATCTGATGCCAAAGGAACCAACATTCCTTTTTGTTTAGAATTTTGAGAAAAATATTTTGCATGAACATCTACCTGAGCTCTAGGTTTCCAAACAATGGCGGTCCCTTGAGCATTGTTAGCCAGTTCTTTCTTAAACACAACTGTACTTTTCTTCATGCCTTTTGTTGCTGGATCAGGTTTCTCTTTCAACTGCTGGGCGACATAATTTCTGTTGCACTGCTCATTTAAATTAGAATACAATGCCAGAGGTTTCTGACCTCTCCGCCATCCCTTTCTTTTATACACAGTCTTCTTCAGTTGTGGATAATCAGGTTTATCTACTGGGGTAACAACTCTAGAGTACATCTTCAAAGGATGCTTCTTGAACTGAACATGTAAGACATCACCATCTTCATCCCTATTCTGTGTATTAGTAGATGCCTTTAGTCTTGCATCAGAGAAAAACAATGTTTGCTCAGATGACATCTGCCTGCCAGATTCCCCAAATTGGTCCATGATTATTCGTTTCTTGGATGCTGTCCTGAAACTGGTATGGAATGCTAGTGAATTAATTGCCTTTTTTTTATCTCCTTTTAAATATTCATCAGATCCTTCTTCCTTCACTACAATACTAGAGGCTGGCAGTATTGTCATCTGGGGAGGATTATGTTTCTGTGTTGTTAGATCCTGTTTCACAGCAAAACTTTGGTCATCAGTTTTAAAACTGAAAGGATCTTCCCCTTTGCTTTCCAACTTCATCTTTTTGGGCTCCGGCGCACCATCTAAAATGTTGCGCACACGGAAATAGTTGAATTTGCCCCACTTTGAAAATGATACTGCTGCCTCAACTTGAACACCTCTGGTATTCGCTGCACTGTCACCATTATGGTTTGCTGTACTGTTTTCTACTCTGCTGTAAGTACGGCTAAAAAAATGTTTAGGGGGAACATACTTTTTAACCATTGTGGATCTGAAAATAAAATTACATAAATCAGTTCATAGGAATGCTAGTGAAGTTTTATATTTTGGGGTTTTTTGGCTTCTTAATAATAACAGATACATTAGAAGGATTGTTACATGAGTTGTAGCTCTCTCAGCTTACGGTGTCTGGCATAACCCCCCGCATCCCCAATCATATCTCCCTCTCACAAAGAGTGAAAAATCATCACCTGACGAAGTCATATCTCCCTCTCCAAAGGACTGAAAAATCACTCATGGCGAAATTATTAAAATAGAAAGTTGAGAAATTAGAACTTTAAAATAATATTTTAAGCTCTCGCAGCTAACTGTGTCCGGCATAACCCCCCCCCTTTTTTTAAATCATATCTCCCTCTCCGAAGGATTGAAAAATCATCACCTTTCAAAATTATTAAAATAAAAATATTTAAGAAATGAGAACTTTAAAATATTTTAAGCTCTCTCAGCTAACTGTGTCTGGCATACCCCCTCCCCCTCCCCCAATCATATCATCTTCTCCGAAGATTGGGAAAGTCACCGTGTAACGAAATATTGTAACTAAATTGAGCTTTGCATCCGTGTCCACCCGGACTTAAATAGGTAGCATTAACTTGTACAGAGAAGTTAATGTAGCCAGTGTAACAGCTACCATATCACCCATCCAGTACCAGTACTACTGCAACCACAACAACAACAAAAACTGTCACTGCGGTCTATGTAAAAAAGAGGAGTTAGCGCCGCATGCTGTCGCCACGGACTATTTAGTTTGATTTGCCCCGGACATAGGAAAAAAAACTTCCTCACGTAACCAGTGATGGAACCCACAGTGAAAAGTACACTATATCAAACTAAACTGGACTGTAAGCCGTCTTAGTTAAGAGTTTCTGCCATCGCCGAATAGTTTTTGATCGAGAAGTGTCGCGGGCAAGCTTATTAGGACTTAACTTCTTCATTCACCGGCGGTGTGAATTCCGGCCGAAGGTCAAGTTAATCGTCTTTTGGCTTTTCCCCCCCGACCTGAGTTTTGCTAAATCAGATGTCTTTGGGTGAAAGGCACAGATATCGCAGCCTAGCTGTAAACCACAACATAACATCCACCCTTTTAAGGGAAAAAGAACAATTATCACCCAGCAGGGAATAGAATAAAGGTTAAGTGTGAAGAATGACATACTTACAACTATACTACCGACGACTGAAGAATTTAGGTCAGATATTGCAGCCTAACTGTTAACTACAACACAACATGCTAACGGGCATATCAAGGGCGAACAAGATTACCCGTGACATGACCATTGAGCATCACATCGCCACTGTCACAGGCTAGCTGTAAACCCCAAAACCGAAAAAAGGCGTAGATATTGCAGCCTAGCCACAAACCACAACACAACGTGCCAGCCGCCCAGTTAAGGGCTAAAAAAATTATATCACCTAGCGGGAATCGAACGCGGGTCACCTGCATTTTAGGCAAGAATAGCTAACAACTACGCTACCAAACACTCAAACATAGTTGAAATGAAATAATATAATATTGCAAAGTTCAATAAGGGCTTAGCAGTCAAATATAGCCAATGAACTAAAAACAAAACCGGGCCGGCGACGAAACAAATAATAATTTGACCGTTGCTGGAGCTATGTCGTTCGTGGTTTGTGCGATTTTCTGACAAAAAAATCACGCTTGGAGTCAAAGGCAACGTTGTGTGCAAATTTGAAAACAATCGGTTCAGTAGTTTTCGACTTTTTAGCTAATATCGGAAAATTTACATTTTTATTAGTATAGATACATATAATGTGTGGTATATATAATAATGTAATTGTAATCATTAGAGATTTGAGAGATCAGTGAAGAAGAATACAATAATTAATAATACATACTTAAAATAACACAAATTTATTATTAATTAAAATAATATGAAAATAAATAATAATTTCTACTCTATCTATAAATGTTTGTCATACTAACTGATAACTGTTGAGAGTAGAGAAACAGAAGGATCTTTCCGTACTTTTTAGCAAATGTTATAGTAATGAAGCGTTACACTTACACTGTTGCTATGGCATGGCAACATGCTTTTGGTTTTGGCAGACTAAACATGCATTCGTTTTTTAACACAGATCTTATGAAAATCTCAATTTAGAAATCGTTCCAATTATTATAATAGGTGCAATTTTCCTGAGCGTAAAAATATATGTAGATTTCAAAAGTAACTACTATAGTTCTGCAAGTCAGCATATAACCATAATAATAATATGGCTATCCTCCGAACTTTGGGCACTAAAGATGGCGGTCCACAAAATATCCTTTCGAGTCACAGTCACGTGACTTAATTTGCGGTTCTCCTGCAGTTTTCTGGCGACTACCGCCATGAGTCCCCCACGCGGCGTGGATTGGGGCTAAAATAAATGGCTAGGACTCACGAGCAAAGCTTCAGGAGATGCAGAAGCTGCCGCTCGTGGGTCCTAGCCCTCTTGATTCATTAATTCATTTTTTCTATAAAAAATTGATAGCTCGGCTTGAACTTAATATACAGCCATGAATGAGGTGCCGTTGAAAATAGCTTTTTAAATATGTATCCAGCTGTGCTTTTTATAATAGTTTAAAATTATTCTGAAACTTTTTATAATAGTATAAAATTATTCTGAAAATTTAAAGTCCCAAATTATAAGTCTACAATACAATTTTATAAAGTGTTGTACGGAATTCAATAAGAATATCGTCATCACGTCGAACTTCTCACCTGGTTGTTTCTTGACTTAGCTTTGCCAGCTTTGGGCACAGAAAAGTTCGGCTCTCCTAGCAAATTTGGCCGGTAAGCTGCACTGCTTCGACTGCTTCGGCCGGCTTAGCGGGACTTAGTGGGAGTTATGTCCCCGTGGCCGCACTCAAAACATCGACCGGATAAAGTCACGAATCAAATGGCATACTTACTTATCATCATCCGGGTGCGTGTAGGGTTGCGTAGGGTGTCTATCATCGTCCTACGGTTGCGTGTAGGGCTGCTTATTGCGTGTAGGTTGGTTGTTTGCGTAAGATGAGGGGTAGGGTTAGGTGTAGCGTTAGTTGTGACAATTGTGACGCCGTAGTTCACTATAATCGCGCACAGTCGCATGCACGCGCAAACAGTCGACGGACGGTGGATGCTACTGACACGGACAATTCGCCACCGATTGGGCACCAGCCGCCCGCTATTGGCGTCATATTTGGCAGAGTTTCAGTGGCTCCACTCCCACAAGCATTAGATTGTCGGCCACTATTTCGAGTTCCTACATGAAAATTTTCACATCGAACCATAAACCTAAACCCTAAACCTATAAACCCTAACGCTAAACCTATACCCTAAACCCTAACCCTAACCCCACCTCTCATTTTACGCAAACAACCAACCTACACGTAATAAGCAGCCCCACACGCAACCGTAAGACGACGATAGACACCCTATGCAACCCTACACGCACCCGGATGATGATAGGTAAGTATGTCATTTGATTCGTGACTTTTTCCGCGACTTGTTTTTTGAGTTTGGCGAAGGGACGTAACTCCCACTAAGCCGGCCGGAGCAGTTTAGCTTGCCGGCCAAATCTGCTAGGAGAGCCAAAAGTTCTTCCTTAAGGATTTATTGGTAACATCGGCAACTATTCTTTGTAAAACTGGCGCTTCTTTGATTTATTCCCGTAAAATGGCGGCATGCCACATTCTGGCTATAAAATATCCAAAAATATCCGAACGACGGTGTTCGCGTTTATCTAAAATACGGACTTTCTGCCAACGAACAAATCGCGGCAAAACTAGGATTACTTGACAACCAATATCAACATTTGCACACGGTACTAGTAGCAGACGATAAATACCGACCGTTGACAAAAATTTCGAG